ACGGACGGATGGACGGAAGGACGGATGGACGGACGGGTCCCCCCCTTTGGAATGTAGAGTCATTGAGGTCTCTGTTGGCCTGTAATGCCTGATACTGGTCTATGCCTCTGAGCTTCCTGGATTGAAGAGAACCATATTCAAACTTTCAAACAAAATCCACTGGATTTTTTTTTATTTTTAAAACATTTTTGGAATTTATCCAGATGAGTGTATCCAGATGATCAATCGTATTTCGTGTATTTATATATATTTATATGTTCAATAAACTGCAGCATAGAGCCACAGCCATTATTATCCTGTATAAATACAGGATTGTTACAAAGCCTCATTTATAAATCAATGTGTTTTAGACCCTGCAGAGTGCGGCCTTTCCATGTCTGACTGTGGTTCTGTAGAAGCGTCCATCCAGCTGACCTCTCATTGTTCCTAGAAGTTATTCCCACTGATTAACACAGCTGAGGAACAGATTTCAGTTATCATTCTGGATGGTTCTCTAATGGGACAGATGCGTTTAGGTGTCCTGGTCTTCACCTTGACTCTGAATTGACCTTTGGGCATGGGATCAGAGATTGCATGAATGATTGATCACTAAATTTGATTTTTGAAAATCCAATACCAAAAACGGCCAGCAGATGGCAGAAGTGCATCTATATCTACCACCTGCATGAACCACATTTCTGTTGATATCCAGTTTTGTTGCTCAGCGTTCCTGGAGCGCAGCACGAAGCAGGCGCCTGGTTGACCTGACTTCCTGCTCCGGCTGCTAAATGGCGTCTGGCCCCGGCTCCTCCAGCCACGCCCAGCGCCATTTATTTTTCAGACCGTTATCTATGGTGGTGACTTCTTCCCTGGACTTCATGAACTGCATGGTGCCCCCTCCATCCCGTTCTCTCCATCGTCCTTCGCTCCAAACAAAAAGTTTCATTTATTTATTTTTTGACTTTTAACTCGTCTCTCCGGTGAATGGAGCCTTAGATGACTTCAGGAGAACTTCAGAACTTAACCACATTCTATCTGGCCACTTGAGCAAGAAACATGTGAAGGAGGTACACGCTTGCCTAGGACCCGCCCCCTTCTTCTGATTGGCTAATACTTTTAGTTTCTGAATGCTCCTTTGCTATCATTGGCTAACAAATGCAAGAGGGATTTTGATTCTTTCTTTTTTATTTATTTACCATCAATTTATTTTCAAGTGATTTTTTTTTACCCGCGGGAAATCGCTATGAGCTGGAAACCCGGCATGGGGCCGGAATACCGGAATCCCTGCATCCAGCATCGGTATTCCAGCTCAGGTTTAGTCCTGGTTCTAGTTTTCCTCGTTGACTTCTGTGTTGCTGTTTTCCTGTAGGTCAGAGTTTACCTGAAGAATCGCACATTTATCACAGCGTTTGGCTGGATGGCAGCGAAGGACAGCTCTATGAATGAGACCCATGGCTTCTGTCTCAGTCTGTCTACTTGGAAAGTGTCCACTCTCATGTCTAATGCCTGCACTGCTTTGTTTGGCCCGACTTTAACAGAGCATTGTGAACCAATCAGCAGTAAACACTGGCTGTGATGTCATACCCCTGCGCAGCGGCAGCAGCTTGTTCTCCAGAATGTCTCTGGCGTCGGTTCCTTCATCCATTAGGTCCAGTTTGGTGATGACACCGATCGTCCTCAGACCTGCAACCCACATGGAAAAAAACAAAAAGCTGTCCTATGTGGATGCGCTGTATATACTGTATATGTTCTATTAACCTTTTCCTTTGGCACCTTCTTCTCTTTCGACTGTATGAGCTGATGTAACGAGTACATTTCTCCAATGTGAGACCAATAAAGTCAATCAATTATTCAATCAATCAATGTAGGCCTTTACTTCCTGTCTCTGAGCTCAGCTGGATGCCTGAAGGATGCAGGTCACAGTTAGATATATATACTCAACCTTGTGGATCAACTTCCTTGGCGATCTTCAAAGCATCGGAGTTGGCGAGGTCGGAATTAGCAGGAGACACGGCCAATAAGAGACAGTTGTCCTTAGTAACAAACTGCATCAGCATTTCTCTGATCTGGTGCTCGATGTCGGCAGGCTGGTCACCCACCGGGACCTTCGTCATCCCCGGAAGGTCCACCAGAGTCAGGTTGAGCACTGCAGGAAACAGCCACAGTTTGAGTCAAAAGAGAGTTGTGGGGGGGGGGGGGGGGTCTTTGTGGGTGTGTTTGCAGTGAATCACCATTGGGGGAGTACACTCTCAGGTTTATGGGCACCGGACTGATTCCTTTGTTGTGTCCCGTCGCTCGATCTGTTTCAGCCTCGATCTCCTGGCGAACCTCATCGAAATCCGTGAACTTCTTCCCCTTGCAGTGCAGGAACTCTGCATATTCTGATCAAGCACAAACAGCCGGGGGGTGAGCGTGACAGGACGGTCCAGCACCATTCAGAGGACCATACCGGATACAGACTCTGCAGACTCACCTGTGGGACAGTTGATGAGCTGAAGAACCAGGGGACGCCTGGTGACGATTCCTGATCCACGGGGCAGGAAGTCCCTGAAGGGAGGGGGGGGGGGACTATTAATTATATGGGGCTTTATGGTCATTTACACACTATGCTGGAAAGCAGTAACCTTTCAACCTGAGGTGGTTCATGAATCCCAGATCAGAATAAGGTACAAACGCTGCTATTAAGTAAAAGCGAAGGAGGCACGGCTGCCCCACGTTTAGAAAACGCATCATAAGGTTCAGAGTCCTGATCGCATGATGTCACCCAACATGACACACTGGCAGCATTGTTTTCCTCAGCAATGACGAAATTATTTCATTGACGCTCCTTTTTTTCACGATGATAATGAGAACTGATGAGCTAAACGTGGATCTTTGTCGATGAAACCTTGAGAGTGATGTTGTCATACATTGCTGCAGCTTTGAACATGGTTCATGTTTGAAGCAGTGCTGCAGGTTCTCCATGGCCCCCTCCGACCACACTCTGACCTGATTAGCTGTGTCTGTATGCAGGAATTAGCATGACAGAAAGGTGATCTTACGAGCCAGGGTGGGGGCGGGGAGCTGCTCTGAATGCATATTTGATGTTAGAATAGGCTAGGTCTAGACTGTTCTGTCCCAGAGTTGCAAAGTCCACGTTGGTCAGCACGCTGGTGAAGATTCTCAGCCACTCAGGTCATAGTCATTCCAAAAAAGATAAAAA